TAAGAAGATATTTATCTTTTAGTCATCATTATGTCACTTGAATTTCTTGGTATGCCTTTTTCTTTTAAATTTTAAATCCCATATCTGGTGTCAAAATAATGGTACCCTTCAGTATGTGTTCTGGCCATTTTTTTTTTTTTCCTGATATCTATGTTTTTCTCCTATGTTACTTGTATCTATACTTTCCCCATGTATAGAAAAACAGTAATGGAAGCCCTGGTGTTGTACACCTGTAATCTATCACTCTGGGAGGCTGAGGCAAGAGGACTGCAAATTTAAGTCCAGCCTGGGCAATCTAAAGACTTTGTGAGGAAACTACCCTCTATCTCCTCAAAATCATCTCCTCATCGCCTCAGACTTGAAAGCAAGCAAGCAAGCAAGCAAGCAAGCAAGCAAGCAAGCGAAATACCTGAAGTGATTTCTTTTTTCCTGTAAAGCAGATTATGCAACCAAAATTTACTTAATATTGGGCTGGCCAGATAGCTCAACAGACTAAAGCGCCTACTTAGGCAGAGTGCATCTGCTGGGATTCAGTACCCTGCATGCTGTGCCAGCCCTGCCCCTGGGCTATGCTGAGATAGTGATTGAGACTGGGCGTTGTAGCGCACGCCTATAATCCTTGTGCTTGGAAGGCTGAAAACAGGAGGATCACTATGAGTCTGATCTCTGTAATGAGACCCTGTAGGCCCTGTACTAAATACATAAAATAAAATTAAAAAAAAAATAATATCTTTCAAGGGGCTTCTGTGATTTCAGGAAGCCATGAGTTGATGCAGTTATTGCAATAGTATTTGCATCTATCCTAAGCATTTATGGTTCCTTTGAAGACCACCATTTTATTTTTAGGAAGCTTGGGTTCAGGTCTTTGTCATTCTTTCACTCTTCTGTATTAAATTGTGTTTTAATTTTTGTGTTTTTATTTCCAGCTGACATTTTTGGTTAGCTCTCATGTAAGGTAGGTTCATTCATTTCATAAATACATAATGAGCACCAGCTTGATGCCATCTTTCTGGGTTCTGTACCAATGAACATTGGCTGGCTAAGTTCTGGTTAGAGAACAACCTTGGAGTATAGCGTTGGAGTTGTACAGGGCAGGCTTCATTTACTTACCTCTTGTTTATTTTCTATGCAGTATTTTGTCTCTTGTGTATCTCTTGTGTTCTGCAGAATGTTTTGAATTGGGATTTTATGTCCATCATTGTATAGGTAGGTTTTTACTGTCAAGAAGCAACTTAATGCCTTCATTGATCTTTTGAAACTGTAAATTCCTATTGTGCAGGTTAGGACTAATGTGAGAATTGGAAGTATTGTATAATAGTTACCACAGACAGCAGTGTCTGTTTTTTCTCTGAGTTTGTTCCTAGGGTTGGAGAGATGGCTCAGTAGAATAAGTGCTTGCTTGGCAAGCGCAAGATCCTGGGTTCAATCCCCAGTACCTCAAAAATAAATAAATAAATAAATAAATATTTGTTCCTACACTGTATCAGAAATCTTCTCCATTTGTAGCCACAACTTGTCATTCTTTTAATACATAGGTCAGAAACCAGATAGCAACAGGCATTACGGGGACTGGCAAAGACTTTCAGACATGAAGAGTGAATCCCTGCCTCACTACAAGTATTTTGGGTACATAATACCTTATTCTCCTCCAATGTGATTCCTCCTTAGAGCAGAATGTCAGGACTGCCTCAGACCCTATAGACTCACCTTGCTCAGCCCACAGAAAGTTACATCCTGTAAGGGTCTAAAAGTGATGAGAAAACACTTGATAGTCATTTCTAGTATTAAAAACCATATAGGCATAGATTTATACTTGGTAATCCTGTTTTTTAAAAATTCCAGTCAAGATGTGTTATTATGCGCAACACTTGAGACATTCTTGATAGAGTAAGACATCATGCCTACTATCATCACAGTTGCTTGGTGTATGGAGTTCTGAAAATACCAGCCAATATAATTTGACTAGTGAAAACATGTATTACTGTGGAAAAGCGTGAGTTATTATTTGAAAATATGACTATGTACTAAACAGCAATCCCTAGCAGTCATTTTCAGCATGTTTCCTTTTGTTCAAATACTACCTTACAATCCATTTATAGTAACAAGTAGTGTGGGAAATAGCTTGAAATTCCTTGAATGTATATAATTACTTGAAATACTTATATAAGATGTATGCAAAGACAAATATGGTGTGATCTCGATCAATTCTAACAACATGAATATGATATATAGTGGTTCTAATGTTTTATCTAGTAAGGTATATGTGAGAACAGTAAGAATTCTAAAGGGAAAGATACTATTCGGTAGGGAACTAATCTTTCTTCCCAAATCTTACTGAAAGCCTCAGTTGTTAAACTAATTTACTTTTGACGGTGACACAGATCATTTAAACTGAGTGGAGATTTTGGTAAAGAAAATGTGTGTAAGCACATTTAGTAAATGCTGAAATTTGGTTTACAACACAATAGGGGAAAGGTAGATGAGTAGTCTACAACCTGTGGTGATTATTGGCTAATTAATTTAGATAAAAGCTAATTTCTGCTTCATCATTATATAGGAATAAAATTGTAAATAAACCAAATATGCAGATATTAAAAATGAAACTAGAGAAATGAAGAAAATAATAGAGAATGTTTTAAATGATTTCACAACTATCATTTATGTAAATGTAACAATGCAATTTTGTAAAGCCCAAATAAAACATTGGTATATTTGATTAGAACAAAGTTTCATTAAATCAACTTAAATACAAAACAACAAAAAAAGATGGGATAGTAGAAAACATTTGCTGCATGTTTGATGGACAAATATCCTTTAAAAGGGCCAGGGATATAGCTTAATGACATAAGTGCCTGCCCATAAGTACAAAAGTACAAGGTCCTGAGTTTTATTCCCTGTCCCCCACCTTCAAAAAAAAGTTCCTTAAAAATCCAGAGTTGACTTACAAATAAAAATAAACTTTCTGAACTAAAAGCATAAAAAAACATACAGTTCATAAACATGTATTAGTGACCAGGAAATGTGCAGTGATGTCCAGTTTTTTTTCTCCTCCTCCTCCTCCTCCTCTTCCTCCTCCTCCTCCTCCTCCCCTCCCCCCCCCCGAAATTTATGTATTTGGTGCAGTGTCTCACCATATAGCTTGGACTCATAGTGATCCTCCTGTTTTCAACCTCCCCAGCGCTGGGATTACAGGCATGTGCCACCATACCCAGTCCGAGAGTTTTTCTTCTTAATGAAGAAAATTCAGATTAAAACAAGATACTGTTTTAGGCTTGTCAGACTGGCAGAGATTTTAGCTTATTTCTCAGTAATGTCAGTATGTGAGGCAAACTCATACAACAGTTGTGAACATTTGAATTGACAGTATTATGAAAATGAGCAGCAGTATTTGTCAAGTGTGAAATATTTATGCTAGGTCCACTTAAAAAGTTTATCACAGGAGTTACACTAAACGTTCTTACATATTGTTGTGCGTAATGGTAAAAATTCAAAAGGATCTGATAAATGTATTAGGTAATTGCTATGTTAAATAATGATATACTTCAGTAGCAGGATATAATACTAAATAAAATTTTGTAGATATTTATGTTTTAATGTAGAGTGATGTGCAGGATATGGTAAGTGTTAAATATAAACACTTAATACAATATTTTCAAATTAGAAATTTGAAGCTTATATTTACATAAGAAATGTATTTGAAGGGCCAGCAAGGGCCAGCACAATAGCCCAGCAGACTAAGTGCCTGCTTAGGCAAGCACAGGAACCAGAATTCATTCCCCAGCACCACGTGCTGCACTGACCCCACCCCTGGGCGCACTGAGCTGGCCACCATGTCCAGGCATGGTAGTGCATGCCTATAATCACAGTGCTGGGAAAGCTGAAAACAGGAGGCTCTCTATGAGTCTGAGCTGTGTAGTGAGACCCTGTACCAAGTACATTAAAAAAAAAAGAATTAAAAATTTAAAAAATGTATTTGAAAGATAGACTGAGAGCAAAAGTTTTCTTCTGAAGTTAACTGCCACCAGCAGGGTCTTTGCACTTTTAGCCTTCTTCAGGAAAAAGCTTCCTTTTAAGAGGTAATATTGGGGCCAGGGAGATGGCTCAGTGGAATAAGCGCTTCCCTGGCAAGTGCAAGGGCCTGAGTTCAATCCCTGGTTCCAAAAAAAAAAAAAAAAAAAAGTAATATCATTGGTCTTGGGTCTAGGACAAAAAGCTATTTAATCTATGGGCTAAGGACAGTTTTTTTCTTAGATTTATTTAGTTTCTATATAGCAACTGAGATATAGTTCATAAGTTATTCAAGAAGAGGGAAATCTGTAGGTATAAAGAATATTATTTTTAACCTAAAAAGAAACTTCACCAAGTCACACCTTCATAGCTTTTACATGCTGCTTCTATTTCTAGGAATTCTGTTTAATAGATGCTGGCACCTTTTTCCTGAAGAGGCCAAGCTTTACTTCTTTACAAAGCCACAGAAAAGATTGCTGCTTGTGTGTTGTGTTTAATCACAAATGAATTAATTAATTCATTAACAATATAATTCAGGGAAAGAACTTGCCTGACTGGGAATTGTAGTTACTAGTAGAATTACTTCTCTCTAAATGGGTGTCTCTGGATTCCTTAATTTTTCTTTAAGAAGTGGGGAGAGTCTTGTCAAGCTGTGATTGGAAAACACCTAACCTGGTCCTTAGGTCTATGTTCTGAGTCTGACCGGTTTACAGTGTGTGTTCTAGATCCAATAAATCATTTCAGTGGGAAAATCGCTGTCAGAAATCTGTAGCTACTAAAAAGGAAACTCTTAAAGACATGCTTTAAGCATTTAAAGTTAGATCTTCAGAGATGCCCGTAGCACATCAAATAGAAAATATTTCTCATTGGCCTGGGGCTATAGCTCAGTCTGCCTGGCAAGCCGGCAAGGTCCTGAGTTTGATTTCCAGTAGATGAATGAATGAATGAATGAATGAATGCTGGAGAAAGATTAATGCTTTTTTATGTTATAGGAACTCCCTTCTGTTGAAGAACTCACTATAATTTTGCCTGAAGATATTGAATTAAAGCCTTTGGGGACAGTTTCAAGTATTATTGAACAATTAGGTATGTAAATGATTTCATTAATAAAAATTATGTCTAAGCATGTATTAATAAGTTAAGAACTTCATGACTAGAATTACCTTTTAGATATGTAATAACACTTCATTTTATAGTAATTAAGACTGAAAGGATAAACTTCAGTTTTTGTTTACATATAATACAGTGTATAAAAGTGAGAAGTGTGTTTTAACTGACATCTTCAGAATTTTCTTTATTAGTTTGCTGTATTGCTGTTATAACCACAGCAATACTGTGACCTATAATAGTATAGTCTTTGTATCTTACACTTCTATACCTATAAGACCCATGGGTCTTTGGATCCCTATAAAGTCAAAATCTCCAGCAGGGCTGGACTCCCTTCTGTGGGTTCCCTGGAGACCCCATTTCCTTGCTTCTGTTGTATTCTAGGCCCTGCCCACATTTCTTGGTGCCCAGCTACCTTCCTTTATCTTTTTTTTTTTCCCATAATTTTATTGAGAGACATATAGCAGTGAGACAGTTTCAAATCAAATTGGTATGACAGTTTCAATAATTAACACATTGCATACATTCTTCCTAGTGGTTAATTGCTGTATAAGATGTGGACATGATATCCTATTTACAAACACTATTAGAACAAATCCCTGTATGCATTAAGAGAATGTAACTGTCTATCCAAACCATTTTGAATACACAGATACAAAATGGACATTCATCTGTATCCCCTTTTTTGTTTAGTTCCATCATTTGAATATTACAGATGTGTTAGCTCAGCAAAATATTCTAAAAGCATCCAGTAGTCCATAATAGTATTGGGTCTTCTGCTTGACTGGCAATGTCAGAAATTGTTGACCTGAGTCCTCTACAGCTCAACATAATACCATGGCTTTACTTCTTATACTTCGTTTTTATGCTTTTCTGCTGGATGATAAAGCAAGACCTGTGCAATAGAGGAGTTGTAGCTTTTGGATCTGATAAGGTCAGTCAAATCCTCTCAGGATTTATCCTGAGACCCTGTACCTCAGATTGTAGATCCTTTGTCAGTGTCAGCCATGTGGATGAGTCACGGCCTTTATCTTTAAGACCAGGAGTATAACATTTCTCTCAGACCCTTCTTCTGTTACATCTCCTTCTGACAACACTGGAAGATTTTCTGCTTTAAAGCCTCCTTAGTTTCTTCCATCACAGGATTTTTAACTTTAGCAATCTGCAGTTTCCTTTTAAATTGTAAAGTGACATATTCACTTGTCAGGGATTAGAGTGCAGATACTGTTAGAGAGACCATTCTATCAACATATTTGATTTTCTGTTATAAACACATAAATTAAGTTTTGTGATTTAATTAATGGCATGATATGAAGATGATGTTATTTTAGATTTCATAGGGTTGTATGAGAGATCTTACTGTTAATGTAAGTAGCACTAGCTCTCATAGTAAGTTATAGATAAAAATAAAATTGACAGTGATAGGATTTTGAAATGAGGAAAAACAGCTAACTTGTTCATGAGCCCTCTTAATTTACAGACCCTAAGAACAAAGAATTCAAGTCATTTATTCTGTGAGCAGTTACATGAGCCATTGGTTGAAATAGGACTTTATCTTTTTCCTTTCCTAACAGGGTCTGTGTCAATATTTTAAAAAAATTAATGCTTATCATAACTTTGTAATTTATACCTTTTCATTAAAATTTAAATTGAAGTGAAATGTCTTACAAAAATTCTGATTGCTAAAACTACATAATTTCCAGGGGGTATTGCATTTCTTAGTACTTTAATTACTCCATGATACTCAATAATATGTGTAGATAAATCAAACATAATTATGGCTTGATTATATCAGTTGAATATCTATTAAATGTATATTTAGATACATTATAGATCATAATACTGATCTTCAAGGAAATAAAGCCAATTATGTGACCCTTGGAATATACTCTTATGACTAATACGTTGTAAAAGGGTAAACTTACTCTCAGAATTCTGACCTGGGAAAAATAAAGAGAAAAAAATCAAAATCAGAATGTGCTGCTATCATATATTATTATGTTTTGAAAGAATAAAATATCTTAACATTTTAACTAAATTTCGAAAAAGAAAAATAAATATTAGTACTTTAGGCATAAATAATCCTTGACTTTAAATAATCTAAAGATGAAAAATGAGAATTTGGTATTGTACTCTGAAGTTCTAAATACCATCCTATTATTTTGTTTATTGTGCTTTAGTTTGGAAAACACAAGGGGCTAATTACTTATTATCCATCAAGCTAGAGATTGAGAAATACCACAGAATTCATGATCTCGTCCTAGTGTAGTGATGGCGAACCTTTTAGAGCTTTCATTGATACAAACAGCCTGCTGTGGCAGGCGTGCCATAGGTTCACCACCACATCCTGCTGCATAGTTTCAGAGTATGGGTTTGACAGCCTTAACAGTTTTGACCAGTGTATGCTGCCCAGTCATCATCGTAAGCGAATGGGTCTGCAGGAGATGCGCAGTGTGCTGTGGAGAGCACGCGAGCTCAAGTCAGCACTCTGGTGCCAGCTTCCTCAAACGTCCTGTGTGTGTGCTGATGTCTTGGGACCTTTCCTTAATCTTTCCATAAGATGAGGGTATTGGATTAGGAATCTTTAATTTTCTGTAATTTGACTGTTAGGCAAAGGAATTAGGGGGCCGGCCAGATAGCTCAGTGCACTAAAGTGCCTGCTTAGGCAGAGCACAGCAGCCGGGGTTCGATCTGCCTCCCAGGGCACACTGAGACTGCAATTGAGACTGGATGTGGTGGTGCACCCCTGTAATCCCAGCACTTGGGAGGCTGAAAACAGGAGGATTACTACGAGTCCAATCTAGTGAGACCCTGTAGACCCTGTACCAAATACCAAATAAAAAGAGAAAGGAATTGGGGAGGGGGTCATGAATACAAATTAATTTTTACTCTGCATTGTCATTATTAATCTTTACTTATCAACTTTAATCCAGAAACAGATTTTAATTAAAAGTATTGACCCATGATCTATTACTTATATGTTTTTAAAACTCAGAAGCATAAACTGTAGAAATTAATTGGAGTGCAAAAATCATTCGAGTTATTTTTCATAATCTGAGCTAATGTATTTTGTTTCTCAGCTGGACATGGTATTGTCTGTTTAATGTAACAGTATTCTTGTTGCTGATTGTTTAAGAATTTTGGGTGTGTATGTTGTGTGTCTTTGTAGTAGATTAGCACTTGCAGCATTTAGAAGAGTAGGGCACTATGCTAATAACTCAGAGGAAAAATACCTTTTTGTCTTTTAAGGAAGGAAGTTAAATATATAACGATAAGTACTATGAAGTCTGTCACTGCCACTGCATCTGTGTAAAGATGTTTTATTAAGCATTAATTTAACTTTCACAGATTCATAAATAATCAGTACTTTATAGGAAAGGACTGTAGAGTGAGAAACAAGACTAACTTAGAGAATGAGAATTTTATTATTAAATGTGATGATGCTATTGTTGGTAAGCATTGCTTTTTAAATGTATATTGCTCAAATGTGATGACACTTTAAGGGGCATTTTGAATTTTCTGTTTTATAGTTTTATAATGTTTTTCTTAGAATTGTTGCTTTTTGTATTAAAATATTTATAGTGCATTTCTTTGTCCTATTTGATAATTTATTTTTTAATTGAAGAGGAACTGTTACTGAGATATTTTTCTTTGTCAAATTTTAAGTTGTGTTGGGGAGACTGGGAAGATAATTTGGTGGTCCAGTTGTCTACCTGGCAAACACAAGGACCTGAGTTTGAACCCTGGGCACGTTGTGCTGGCCCTGAAACTGGGTGTGGTGGTGCATCCCTTAATTCTAGCACTGGGGAGGCTGAGACAGAAGGTTTAGTATGAGTCTGAACTGTGTAGCAAGATGCTGGATCAAATATATTTAAAAAATAAGTTGTGTTGGGATTAAGCCTAAATTCTCACTGTATTTCTATATTATATGCTGATTAAATCTTGAAATAACATTTATTTCTTCAATTTTTCAGTAATAATTGAATCTATGAGTAACCTACCTCCAGTTAATGAGGAGACTGTAATATTTAGAAGTGATCGACAAACAGCAGGAAAGGTTTGTTAAAAACACATCTGCAGATTATTGTGTATCTTTGGTTTGTATATCTGACTTTCCTTATGGCCCTAAGCAGAATTTATTAGTATTAGGTGAGCAGTCTAGAGCTCTCAACTTTCAGCACATTCTTGATTTCCTTTAATACTTACTGGCTGGCTCTAGGTTGGTTAAATGTTGCTTATTTGTCTTTCACATATGAATCATTATATTGGTATTTAGAATTCTTTGCTAATGTTTTCCAGGTACTTTGCTAGGCAGTAGGTCTACTTACTGAGTAAGACATAGTTCTTTCCTGCCAGGCATTTGGAGCTGAGAAAGATTTTCTGTGAGTAGCACGCTAGCTCTTAACCATTTTTGGCTTGCTAATACCTGTTGGTAGTAGCTCTCGAACTTTTTGGACTTGGCTTTCTCAAGTGGAAGCTCAAGGTGGAATATTTCAAGTGGAAAAAGATTTTGATGACAGAAGGGAAATGTCACTGTAAGCACACTAAGGCCTTAGGAATATGGACCCACTATATGGCTGGGTCCCTTTAACATGTTCCTAATGGAATGATCCTCCATGTTTATCTTTAAGAAGATAAATAAGATTGCGTATCAAGCAAGTAGGCAGTTCTAGATAATAAAGGGTATAAAACTTTCTAAAACCAAGAACATAAGTACTAACCAAGTGTCCATTTGATGGCACAGAGGATAGTTTTACTAATGCTGCATTCCCCACTGTGTATTATACAGTTTGTGTTCTAACAGGATTAATTTGTTATATCAGGAAAAGGTAAATATATTACACTATTACAGGATCATCTCACCTATTCCTTTTCTTCACTTTTCCTCCTGCTGCAGATATGTGATTCATGAACAGAATATTTTTCTTTTTTTTTTTTTTTTGAGACAGTCTCAGTCTATGTAATTTAGGTTGGCTTTGAAGTCATTATGTAGCCCAGGCTGGCCTCATACTTGTGGCAATCTTCCTGCCTTAGCCTCCTGAACGCTGGGATTTCAGGTGTGCACCATCACACCTGGCTTTCTAATATGATTCAGAAATAGGTCAGATTTTTATCAGTCCTGTCACTTCTACCTACCATCGCCATATGTTTTATAGGTTAATGGGCCAATTTAACAAAGTAGTGGGTCCTCCATTTACAAAATTGTTGGTACCAAAATTCACTGGAGTCACAAAGTAGTATTTTTGGCAACTTTTTGCAAAAGATCATGAAGGAAAAAAGACTTGTAGTGTCTAAAGGGTAGTGTGATTTTTTTTTCTTTTATTTACTTAGACTAAATATCTTTATTACACACATAGGTTCCAAAACTTTTGATGAACAGAAAGAGTTCTATACTGTGCAAACTCTGTATTTAGTGCTGATGTCTTTGAAAGGCTTGAGAGGTAGAGTAGCGGCTTAATCTTAGCAAGGATGGAGAAAAAGGAAGGGGATATGCATACAAGCATTCGCTGTGAGGAGCGCCTCCTATCTCATCTCCTTTCTTAGGAAACCAATTTTCTGTCCTGGAAAACACCAAACATGTCTTGTCTTCAAGTAGTAATGGAGAAGTGGCAAGGAAAACACATTTCTTGATTTTCTGAATGTGCAAAACCTGATTTTTTTTTTTTTTTCCTAATTTTTGCTTGTGTTTTCATGGCTGTTGCCTTCTCTTAATAGCTTATGTAGAGTTTTAATTTCAAAACACCCAACATTTTGCTGATTAAAACCTCTAAACAGACATTTTTATATTCCTCAGTGTGCTCTATTTGAAAATTTCAGACCTATAATTATGACTAATAATAATAATTAGCTCTTTTCTCATTTGTATTCAAAAAGCACCAGGTAAATGTGTAGTGTTTACACCTCTAGCGTTAGCTGTGTGATGCAATCCTAGAGAGAGGTGAATGTTAAATCACTTAAGAGAGCCAAGTAAATTCAAGCATTTCAAAAATACATCCATCTAAGCACTTGGAAATAATTCCTCAAATTGGGGAAGGTTTAGGTTTAAAGAGAATCTATAAAACCAGTGGTTGAAGAGTATGAAATTGAATGTCTTGTAGGTCGTGAGCATATCTAATTGAAACACTAGCTTTACCTCTACAATAGTATACTGTTTTGTATCATTTTTCCTCTGTTATTCACTGTCAACAAAAATAACTAACCATGGTGATACAAAATAAAAAATAAAAAATGGGCTGGGATATAGCTTAGTACAAACGCCCCAGGTTTGAGTCTCAGTGTTCACCAGAGATGTTGCCAGTGGGGGGCAGGGGTGAAAAAGACAATTTATTTTGTAACATTGACAAAAAGTGTTACCTTTTAGCAATTAGCCACTGTTTTTAACTTGCTAACTTTCAGATCATTGTTTTACATGTTAAAAGAAGCCTTTGTGTTTCTCTTACCTTACAGATATTTGAGATATTTGGACCTGTTGCACACCCATTTTATGTGTTGCGATTTAATTCTTCAGATCACATTGAAAGTAAAGGTATTAAAATAAAGGAGACTATGTATTTTGCTCCATCAATGAAAGATTTTACCCAGTATGTTTTCACAGAAAAACTTAAACAGTAAGTATTTTATTGACATAGAAATCTTTGCCTGATGTTTTATATTTTAAGAGTAAATTTATTGAGTAAATTCATGTTTAGAATCCACATATTTTTTAAAACATTGTACCAAAATTATTTCAGCCCTAGCTTAAATTAACCTTATTTTAGTTTTTCTAAGTAACTGCTAAGAAAAATAAACATAAAAGTCATAACAGTTTTAAAATGTTTTAGAATGAGGCCTTAAATAACATTCATCAAGTTTAACTTTCCCTGGATCATTTCTTTGGGTATCGTAATATACATAGAACATACAATTCCTCATTTAGTGACCATTTCGTTTAACAACTCAGCCACTGGAGCGTAGCTCAGTTGTTAAGCAAGGAGCGTCTCTGTGCTGCCTGAGGCTTTGTCTTTGAGGTGGAGCAGTGTAGCTCAAGATAGCTCAGCCAATTACAGCTCTTTTAATCTCGGCTTCCATTTACTGTACATACTATTTTCTTAAAGTGCTTTTTGGAATTTCACTTGATCTTTAGTGAATTTTGATTTCTTATGGTACACTAAAATTATCTAGTATGTCTTTAAACTCCAGAATCTCATATCTAATTGATGTTGAACAAACATTTATTTGTTGAACCAAGTTTTATGCAAATTTTTTAAATTTTTCATGATTTTGTATTATATATTGCAAAATTAAAGATTGAGCTCTTTTGTTTTGTACTTTTAGTATTTTTTATACTGTGCTAAGCACTTAAAGAGTCTTATCAATGAATCCTTCTTTGAGGCCAGGTGAGGTGGTGCATGACTGTGGTCCCAGCAGTTGGGAGGCTCAGGCAGGAAGGTGATTGTGATTTCAAGGCCAGCCTGGCTGCATAGTGAGGCTAACCTGACCCCCATAGTGAGACCCTGTCGCAAAATAAATAACCCCCTTTTGATTTGTTTATAGGGATAGGGGATCAGATGCATCATGGAAGAATGATCAGGAACCACCACCAGATGTAAGTATAGTGTTTGCACTCAATATTTTACCAAGTTGGGCATTTTAGTAATTATCAGAATATCACCTGCCTTTTAATTTTGTTTTTAGTCTACTTTGTCAATAATGATTCACTTTGTTAATAAAGGTAGATGTCATTGTTTATTTTATTCAGTTTAATAAATTAATCATGAAAAATGAAGACATTTATTATGATGCTTTTAGTAAATTGCCTGTCTTTTGGAGCTAGAAAATCATTAGAAGCAATCTACCTTTTCATAGTTTACAATATAACTACCTTCTTTAAAAGAGTTCACTTGGTTTTCTTTTGGTATATATGTTGGAGAGATAATAGTTTTATCTTCCAAGGTGGATTGAAAACCTAGTCTTTCTTGAAATGTGAAGTTAATTAGGGAATAATACTTAAATGAGTAAATTGTGTAGTAATTATTTAACTATGGAAATTTTTAAGCAGATTTTCAGTTTTGAAAAAATTTATTGCATTATAATACAGTTTTTTTTGATATTTGCAGAAATAACTGATTATTTTAAGTGGTCTCAGGCAAAGCCAAAGACGATTGTGTTCATTTTTAATTTTGCTGAAGCATAGATCAGGTTTATCCACCCTTAGGGATGTTTCTACAGATCTGCGTCACTTGACCAGTGTGTTACCCTGGCTTAGTATCTGTTGCACATTGGAATGAAGTGTTTGCTATTTATGTGATGAGTACATGCGATTCCCATTACTGTTGCTTGTGTTTACTTAATATTTACTTAATATTGTGCTTGGAGTAATTTATACTGAAATTATGTATTTTAAATTATTTGAGCATTCACATAGGGCTTAAAATCTTGCTCATGATGTCAAGATACTCTTCCTACAGCCCTCTTGTTTCAGACCTAAGCGTTAAAGTTACGAATTAGGGTGTTACTGCTTATGGCCTTGAATAATTCGTTAAAGAATTACATCACCCATACATCATTTTTTCCAGGTGGCAGAATAAATCATGAAATATATTTTAATTTTATAACAGTTGTTGATGAAATTTTGTAGTCCAGAATTGCTACCTGATATTAATCATAGATTCAAATTTGTTAGGTTTAACATAAAAATTATCAAAGTAGGAAGCTTGCATAGAAAAATAAACTGTAGAGATTATGAGCTTTGAAAATGTCAGGCATGCATAAATTTACTGGGTGGGGCTTAGCTATTCTCAGTTAAAATTTTAAAATTTCTCTTGCTCTTGATATGGTGCAGAGTGATTTTTTCTTTTTCTTTTTTTTTTTTTTTTTTTTACGGAACCAGGGATTGAACTCAGGCCCTGGCACTTGCCAAGGAAGTGCTTATTCCACTGAACCATCTCCCTAGCCCTGGTGCAGAGTGATTTAAGATGCCTTTATAAATTGAGGAGCAGCTCAGCTGGAGAGCGACCACACATTAGGGACAGAGCAAGGCCAGCCCCAAGAACATGGAGCCATGTGAGCAAGCTGTTGGCGCTAGAGCAAGGCTATCCCAGGCAAACAAGTTGGCCTCAAGCTTAGTTGTTTATTAGCAGGTGTCCAACTTTGATCTGCCCCCGTGTTAACTACAGCACAGATAGCTCTGAAGATGGTTCATGTTCTGTGTTCTCAGCAAAACAGAGACCCATACTTTCGACCCCCTTGAATACTTCCCCCCTTTTTATGATGTTGTAGAGGCAGTGATGCTGTCTTGGCCCCTCCATCAGAGAGGATGAGTCCTGCCTGATTGTCTTTTCTTAATCTCCAGCTGTCCCTCTCAGGGCCTGGCAGGCCACACAGGTCGTGGCAGTCATCTTTACTAGCACTCACTTTCTCTGATTTTGCTACATAAAAACTTCCAGTTTGTATCAGTTTTTGCACATATGATGCTCTTTCATGTCCCTGTATCTACATATACTGTTTTCCATTCACTGAAGATTTGCCCTTATTTCCTTATTAGCTGTTTAGCTGGGTTATCCACACCAAGATGTCTTTCCTTTGCTTTTTCTGTGTTTATCAAGCCCATACTCCTGCAGCACTAGCCATAGTATTAGCTCATTATATCATTGGTTTATCTGTTTTTTCATTTGACTGAGCAGTTTGAACAAAATGTCTCCTGTCACATCTGTATTTTTGCTAGTGCCCATTTACTGCATTAAGTAGTAAAATCAAGCTCTTGACACCACTACAATTAGTTAACATTTAAAAATTTAATTAAAGATTCTCAGGTATGTGGACTGGTGCCTTACGGAAGATTTGATCTAGAGTATATTTCATTAAGGCCATACTGAAAATTCCATACACAGACTTTTGTATTTATTCTTTTAAGTATAAAAGAATAAAAAGGCCTACACAGAGAGCCTTTTATATGAAACGTATCTTTTCCAGTGTTAATGAAAAGATAAAATACTTGAAATAAAAGAAATTGTGCCAGTTATATGTAACTTATAGATCTTTGTTTTCTGGTAGGCTGTAACAGTGAAGCCAATTCTTAGTTACAGTGAGTTTTATGTTTCTAGTTTAATGTGATGTCTTCATAAAACTTGGGTATATATCTGCTTATAAAAGTTCTTTTCCTCAGTCCAGACTAAATAGCATCCCCATCATTTTTTATACTTTTTTCTCTTTAATTTTAGGCTTTACTATGTATCTGAAATTAAATTATGAGAGGAATTAATACTATATACCTGTAAAGAATCCTGGAAAGAGTTTAGAAGGCTGGCATATAATGGATTTGTGTATGTTTCTGAGTGGATGAGTTGTAGAACAAAGAGTTTTATTTTTATATTGAATCCAGTGGTATATGAAATGTGCTTAATCTTGATTGCTTCCTTTAGCAGCTGGTGTTAATGATAAAGCTGGGGGACAGACTGCTAACCAGGAATACCCATATCTGGAGATTGTTAAATGCTGGCGTTGTAAAGCTACTGATGGGAAACTTTCTAGGAATTAAGAGATAAAACTTCCCTGGCAAGTGCAAGGGTCAGAGTTCAATCCATGGTTCTACCCAAAAAAGAAGAGAGAGAGAGAGAGAGAGAGAGAGAGAGAGAGAGAGAGAGAGAGAGAAGCCTTGACTGCTCAGCTTGGTTAATGGCTTGTGTTAATGAAGACTCAGTAGGCATTTATCAAAAAACTTCACTATTTTATCATATATGAAATGTGATCAGAAATACAGTGAATTTTTTGATTAGATAAAATGAAAGAAACATTACCATTAGCCCCCTCAAAATGTTCATCCCTTTGCTTTGCATGGTGCCGCTTTGCAGAGCAGCTCTGGAAGTCCTCTTCTGGGATGTCTTCATTGCTCTCGTGGCCCCTGTCTGGAGTAGGCTGAGAACATTTACCTCCCCTGGTCATTTTAAGTAGGAGAAAGAGCCACAGTCGCATGGTGGCAGATTGGGTAAATGAACTGGATGAGGATGCACTGTAGGGTTTTTGTGAGCCCTGCTAGATGTCATGCTTCATCATGTTTTAACCTCATAAGATAGAAAAGTGGGCTCCGAGAGTTTCAAGAACAACAAGATAAGTGTTTTTAAAACAAGGGGAATATAATGGGGATTAGTGGTAATGTGCCATTTACTCTTAAGTTTTTTTAAATTTAAACACTGCCGATCAGACTTCATATAACTAATTCAGTTATTAGTAGGTATTAATAAGTAGTGAAGGGCCGGGGAGATGGCTCAGTGGAATAAGCACTTCCCTGGCAAGCACAAGGGCCTGAGTTCAATCCCTGGTTCCACAAAAAAATAAAAAAATAGTAGTGAAATGGGCAACTTGTTTCTAATGTCAGTTGGTAAATAATAGATTTATTCTCACCCTAGAGTATGTACTATTGAATTACAAACCTATGTAATAAAATTTGTATATTTTTATCTGCAAGGCATTAGATTTCAGTGATGATGAAAAAGAAAAAGAAGCCAAACAGAGGAAAAAATCTCAGATTCAAGGTCGGAAGAAACTAAAATCCGAATTTAACGAGCCAGGTAAATGAATACAATATGCACTTGTCCTTTATCTTCATTTCTGTGTAACCATATCAGTAGTAAGACTGAAGGGACTATCAGTGCTTCTGTGTGTCTTCTCGCACGCAGCTGCCACTAGAGGTGTTAATGTGGCGGCCATCTGGTAGGGGAGAGTCCCAGAGAACAGGCAGCAGTGGTTCTGGGAGACGAAGGCAGTGAACATGTGTTTCAGGAGTAACAAGCAAACACAGCCTTGCTGTGTCATTTGTATGTACAAACCTATTTGCTTCCATATTTAGAATTTAATTGTGCTGCTTAATACCCCCAATCATGGGGTAGGTTTGTTTTGTTTTCATCTACATTCCTTTTTATCAGACATTTCCTAATATTTTTGTTTTGAGAAATTAAACTTTTTGAGATAATTATAAATTCCCATACAGTTGTAAGAAATGATATCCCTTTAGCCTATTTGCTCCATTTACAACATCGTGCAAAACCTGAAAATACAGTGTCACGACCAGCAGTGCTGGCATTGGCACACTCAGGGTGGGTGACGTTTCCATCATGGGAAGTTGTGTTCTTCCTTTCCGCTCCCTCCCCTCCCCTCCCTTCCCCTCCCCTCTCTGGGCTTCCCAGCAGAACACCTATCTGTTCCGCATTTCCCTATAATACTTCGTCATTTCAAGAAAGAGGATGAAAAATAAGTGATACGTGTTACATGTATGTACCAGTCTCCCAGGAGGATGTAAATTTTGTGTTGCATAAAAGCTTTATGTTTATCTTTCTTTATGGCCAAGTGGTACTCCATTTTATAAAAATACTAGATCTTTTTTTATCTGTTCCTTGATTGAGGGGCATTTAGGTTGCTTCCAAGACTTGGCCATTACAAATTGTGTTGCTATAAACATGACTGCACATATATTACTGTAAGAAAGATGATTTTAAAAATGTGAAATTCCAAGTGGAAGAGGATTCTTTCTGCTTAAGTCAATATGAGGAACTTCTCATGAAGGAAGAAAAAGAGTCTTAACGCATGAGTTGAATTTTTATTGACATAGAGAGGAGAAAATTCAATGCTTTCAAAGAATTAATAACATTTTTCCTCTTTAAAAGATTTGGTTCCTTTATATGGAAAGTTTTCTTTTTTAAAATCCCTCATTTCTTAATAAAGTCTGATAATGAATATGTGCAGTATGGAAAATTTACAATGGGGTAGGTGAAAGAATAAAAATATTTTTTTGTAACACTTTAAATGTTTGATTAAACCCAGTCATTATAGAACAACAACAAAAAAACTGTTAACTAAAAAAAAAAGAATGTTACATAAAGGGAGTCCTGCCACATGTTGCCAGTGGGAGTTTGCTTTTGCCATTGAACTTTTTTTCTGGAGATCCATCCAGGTGGTTGCATGGATCAGTTTGTTCCTGTTTACTGCAGAATGCTGTATCAAGGTGGGGATGTACCAGATTCTTAAGGATTTAAGAATCAGAAGTCCTTAAGGATTTCTGATTTGTTTCCGTTTTCTGCAATTTAATAATAAAGCTGCTATAGATATGAGTGTACAGGGTTTTTCTTTAATGTGAAAATTACCATCTGTCTGGAACACATAGGCAAGAGTACAGGCTCTGTGTTACATGGCAGTTACGTTGCATCCTTCATTTTTTCAGCTCCTGCACTGCTTTTGTACCAGGGCCATATTATTTTGTATTCTCATCAACTATATCCAGTGACTCAGTTACTTTTCATTCTCACCAGCTTTAGATGTTGTCATTAGTTTTTTTGTGTGTAGTGTTATCTAATTGTGGGTTTAATTTGCATTTTCAATTTTGAATAGGATGAGAAGTTTTGATCAGTGGTCACTCTTTTGCATATAAATATCTAATTATTTCTATACCATTTGTGCAAAAGCTATGAGTCCTAAAATGAATTGCTTTAGAACCTTTGTCAGAAGTCAGTTAGCTATATTTGTGTTCATCAGTCTGTGTTCAGGATTTTATTTCATTGATAGATATATCTGTGTAATAGTGTCGATTATGGTTATGTAGCAAGTCTTGAAATTGGAGAAAATGGGGCTGGCACCTTATTTTACTTTTCTCAGAATTATTTTAGCTATTCTAGTTCATTTACCTTGCCCCTATAAATTTCAGAATTATCTTCTTTGTGTCAGCCAAAGGTTCTCCTGGGATTTTACAAGAAGTTGCATAGGTCTGTGTAGGTGAGTAGTAGGGCCTCAACCATTCCGACTTCCTGTCCCTGATGACGTACATGACAGAACATCTTGTGCTTGTTCACCATCAGTGTGTCTCTGCTGAGAGACCAAATTCTTTGCACCATTTTTCATCATATTTTCTTACTGTTTAAAGGGATCTTTCTATACTTTTTTTTTTTTTTTTTTGAGAGAGAGAGAGTGGTGTGTGTGTGTGTGGCCAGCTCAGCCCACCAGGGGGTGGGGCTGGCTGGCATGTGGTGCTGGGGGATTGAACCGCAGTCCCTGATGCTTTGCTAAGCTTGTTCTAAGTAGGTGCTCCAGACCACCGAGCCATCTCTCCAGCCCCTTTCTATACTTTTACAATAGTTTTTTTTTAATATCTTTGCAAAACTTTTCTCCTGACAGTGCTTTTGTTTTCATTACCTTGACAATATCACTGAACAAAAACTTTTAATTTTAATGAAATTCAGTTTATCAGTTCTTTTTAATAATATCTTTGATGTCCTGTCTTAAAAGTTACCATGAACACGGGGCCATTTATCTTTTCCCCTATAAAACTCTTGAGGAATTTTATAATTTTGCATTTTGTATTTAGGTTTGTGGTACATTTTGAGTTCTTACAAAGGGAGTGAGGTTTGAATCTCAATTCATTTCTGCATATGGAGCTCCAACACCAGCTATTAAGAAGCCGCCTTCGCCTCATTAAGTCACCTTTCCCTCTTTGTCAGAGATCTATTGATTGTATTCTGTGGCCTGCTGGTGGGCTCTGTCCTGTCCCACTGATCTGTACACTTTTGCTTTTGCTATTGCTTTTGCTTTTTTTGGCGGAACCGCGGATTGAAGTCGGGCCCTTGTGTTGCCAGGGAAGCATTTATTCCACTGAGCCATGTCCCCGGCCTGTATGCTTTTTCTTTCACCAACATTTCAGTTACTACCATAAGGTTTTGGTAAGACTTAAAATCAGATAGTATCAGTCCTCCAGCATTGTTCTGTAGCATCGTTCAACCAAATTTTTAATTTTGGTTATTATATTATTCAGTCCTAAAATGTGTATTTATTTTTTTATCTGAGATTTTATAATTTTCATTTTTTAGCATGTTCATAATTTCTTATTGAAACATTTTTATGATCACATTATCTTTCTTAGTTAATTCTAACATTTTTATGTTGCCTTGGTTAATCTTTTTCATTGAGTTTGAAATCTTTCCTTCATATTGTCACTTTTTTGTTGAAATCTGGATGTACCATGTATTATAAGACCTTAAAGCTTATGTAATTCTGCTTAGATTAGGTTGGTTTTTCAAATACTGTGTTGTTTTTCCAGGGAGAAAGAGACGGTAGACAGAAGTCTACTTTTCCTCTTATTGATACTGGAGGATAAGGAATGCATTACTGTTTCATAAGGCTGCATGTCATGGCATCCCACTTGATCAGGCAGCTGCTGGCCAATGTCCTGTGACACCAGCAAGTGTGGTCTCTACACAAGGCAGTAGTATAGGTCTTAGTCCTCACCACCACCCCAGTGCAGAGGGAGAAACTGTGCAGCTGCTGGTAAAAGTACAAGCTTGGATTTCCAGGCCCTTGTATTGCTGCCAGAAGGCCTGTTTCTGGCACTGGGCTCACCCTGCCGGGAGCCTGCTGAGGAAGTGCAGGGTGTTCCAACCAGGCTGCTGCTTGAGGTAGTGCAGGCTCATCCTCTGAGGGCAGCTTGCTGTGGTGCTGTAGTTTTTTCTGTGCTATTTGGCTGAAATTATTTTCTAAAATGTTTTCTGTCTTGTAGGTTTTTCCCTGATATTTGGCTTTAAGTTTGCCTTTTCAGTTTGTTTAGACTGCTTTATATCAATAATTAAAAGGCATTATGAAAATTACTGACATTGCTTTTTTGATATGCTACACTTAATTTTAATTTTGCTTTTATGTATATTTTCCTATATCAAAGGAGAAGATTCTGCTGAAGTACATCAGAATTGGAATGCTTGCAGCTCTTCCTCGGAGCATTCAAAAGGATATCACAGTGGAGAATTCACACGAGGATTTTCTAGGGGCAGATACCCTCGACCGGGCCACAGCAGGCCTCCACCTCAGCAGTTTTATAACTCAGAACATATGGTACCTCAGGAGACTTCAGGATTTCCACCACAGCGACAAGACAGCCCAGTGATGCCACAGTATCCCTTTCCTCCTCCAGTGTTTGACATGCATAACTTTTCATTCCCACCACCACCACCGCCACCGCCACCACCACCACCCCCATCTGTCAGCATGGGCTGGGCTGCAGCCAACATGACACCCCATCCGATGCTCAACTTGCCGTACTCCCTGCCCCCACCTCCTCCTCCTCCACCACTGCCTCCCCCACCCTCTCAGGGAGATAGTAGTGCTTCTCATTTTGGACCTTATTATTAGAGGCATGCATCGTTTCCAGAGAAGTATGGACTTTTCATAGTGTATATGTTACCTTTTTTTTTCTAAAGAAAAGTAATTATGGAGCTAGATTTTTACAAACACTGTAAAATACTAAGTGATTCAGTTGTAAGTTGATATATATTTGTAACTTTCGTGAAACTGTATTCATATAAAAATTTTAGCCCAAATTCTTGGAAGTAAATCCAATTATGTAATACAGTATTTAATTAAAACTTTGAGTCATTCTCTCCTGTACTCCCACCCATAAAACAGCATATATAGTAGTGGATATGGAGCAAGTTCCATTACGGATTACAATATATCGAACACTGATTGCCTTTTCCGGTAAAATCTGAAAATGACATGTTGAAGACCTATTAAGAGTCTTTATTTTTGTAGTCTTATACTTTCAGAATTTATTTTGAGTATAATGTAATTTAGTAGTAGTTAACCCTAACCCTTTTTTTAAAAAAACTTAATTGAAAAGTATAAAGGAGAAAAACCTTATATATTGCCAGAATCTCTAACTAAAGCTAATGATGTATTTGTAATTTCCCGTTCTCTATGCAGATTTCCATTATTTAGGTATTACTGTGAAAGCTTTGCTAGTTAACAGCTTTAATGCTCAGATGTATTTAGGGATCTTTGTCTTCTGTATCTCCTTCACATATTTTTATATGCTTGGCACAGATTACATGTTTAATAAATATTTGCTGGATGAATGAATTTAAGAGTTTTTTGTTAAATGGTAATATTTTTTGTCATTGAGTGTAAATATAAAAGAAATTACAGAATTTTAGAACTGGAGGAGGTCTTCAAACTCACCTAAACTGTTTGTCATTGAATAAATCAGCCTAACTGTCTTGTTAAGGTTGCGAGGAGGCTCCATGATTTAATTAAGATCTCTTAGGCACTGAGATGGTAAGGGCTTGAATCTAGCTTTCTTGTTTCTTAGATTACCATGTCCCATTGAATTGGCACTTCCTACTTCTTTTTTCCTGGAGACTGCTTGTCCCAGGCCTGTGTTCTCTGCTTGTACTGATGAGGCCCGGAGGGTCCGCAGTGCAGGTGGGGAAGCCCTGACTTTACCACGTGTGCATGCACTTCAGCATTGTTCTTGGAATGTTGTTGCTGCTTCTCTGTAGGCATTACCTTCATAGTTTATGGCAAGCAGTTTTTGGGTGGGTTTTTTTCTGTTGATAGAATTTAATGAAATTATATCTAAAAACATTGGAAAACTCCCCAAACCTTTTTTAATTTCTGTAACTCAAGTGCTGGCTATCTGACACGGGATATGTAATGTCTAAAGAAATAGAGAATTGAATTATGCCATTCAGTAATTCCTTTCAAGTATTAAAGTAAGACACCAACTTTACCACTTAGGTCCTATTTTTCTTCCTTCCTGTATATAGTTCAGGGCTTTAGAAACTGAGGTTCCTAGAAATGCCCTGGGAAACTGTTATAAATTAACATTTGTATGTGTTTATTTTTAAATAGTCTACAGATAACCCAGGTATCTGCCTTCAAGGATTACTCTTAGTGTGCAAATATTTTGGGTCAAACATTACGATAGCTACAAAATGTCTTTAGCCTCTCACTTGCTGTGTCTTTGTCTTGGAGGTGTACGTGGTCGACTGCAGTGCTCTTTGGAGTTTCGAGTGACCCAGTCATAATCATTGTTTTAATGTGTCCCATTCAAAATTCATGTGCTTAATCCTCTTTGTGGTGAGGTTGAGTTGGGCTTTTGGGGATGTGATCAGAGTGTGGCGCTTTCGACTCATCAGTGGATCAGGACAGGAGGAAACTAGCTTCTAAGGCCTCAGTGTTCCTCCCCTCTTAAGGGTGCAGCAAAGAGGTATCTTGGAAGCAGAGAGCATCCTTCTTCAGATACCAGACAAGCTGGTAGCTCCCAGCCTTGAGAACTGAGAAGTCAATTTCTACTGTTTATATAGTCTATGGATATGTGTTATAGCTGTAAACATACACTTTAGACACCAACTGAAAAACAATTTGTATAATTGTCACCACTTTAATATTACAGTGCTTTTAAAATTATATGACGAGACTGGACATGGTGGTGCATGCCTGTAATCCTAGGACTTGAGAGGCTGAAAACCAGAAGATCACTACGAGTCTGATCTGTGTAGTGAGACCCTGTAGACCCTATACTAAGTACATTTAAAAAAAAAATTATATGATCACATATTTCTGAACTTCTAGATGATACAAAGGTAAGTACTTAAAATTTTCTATACAGTTCCTTGCTTTGAATAGAGAATTTTTCCTCATTTTTTTTTTAAATGTATTTAGTACAGTCTCACCACACAGATCAGACTTGTAGTGATCCTCCTGTTTACAGCCTCCCAAGTGGTGGGATTACAGGCTTGTGCCACCATGTCCAGTCTCAATCCCCATCTCAGTGCGCCCCAGGGTTGGGGCCAGCACATCAGGCCCAGGGATCTATTTCTCGGCCCCTGTGTCTGCCTAAGCAGGCGCCTTAATCTGCTGAGCTCTTTGGCTGGACCTGAATAGAGAATTTTTACATTGGCCTTTTTCTTATAAGAATCTTCACATAGTTATATATAATTAGTTGCATTTTCATGTCTACTGGTAGAATTAAAATTGCTTCCTAAACTAATATATTTATTTTATTAAGATGGTAACCTCTTCCTTTTACAGAAGGATCGGTCCTTGCCTTGCTGAGACTCCATACCTGAGAATTCACAAAGTGAGGCGGAGATTTTCACTTACAGTTTCTGAAGTTTTACTCTTCATTGGAAGTCTCTAAGGCAGAAATGGCATCATGAAAGGGCCTGCCCAGAGGAGAGCTGCCTGCATCGTGGACTGAAGCAGAAGGGGGGAGGGAGATCGACCAGATTGCACCCGTGACCCGCCCGTGTGAACAGACCCACCTCTGAGCAACAGGTCAGCTCTGGCACCTGCGTAATGCAGCCAGCCTTTCTGCGCTTCTGCACATGTGAGGCTTTCGGCCGACATTCCGTCCACACCCTAACAGCCAGCTGCTCTGTCGGGTGCTTACTCATCCTCCACTTGCCCACCCCGTTCTGATTTGTCACTTCCTGCCCCCACTCCTGTGTCCTACCTTCTTTGTTTATTGGCTTGGTCAGAGCTGGGGAACATCAAGTGCACTTTTAAAACTTCAGGCCATTTGGTGTGTAAGAAATAAGTAAAATCCAAGTTCCAGTCTATTGTAATTTTAAACTGCTTAATAAATATGAAGTAATATTTAAGGTCTCAAGTATTAAAAATCCTACAAAATTTAGCAGCACGGTTTCACAAAATAGCATACTATTTGAAGAGACAGAATCCCAGACATTATGGATCGTTTTTGTGCATCTCCTTTCAATAGTAGCAGCTGGCATTTGAGTTTAACTATGAATTTACTTTATAAATAATTTTAAGACAATATGTTTAACTGAACCTAGTGTTTTCTAGTTTTTTATACAACTTTCCATTTTTTAATTGTTTCTATTGTAGGAAAGGCAAAGCCACCTCTGAATCATTCAAGGCCAGGAAGACAAGCAAAAGGGGAGAAATAATTTCTTACTAGCATACTCGTTGCTGTTTCCCAATCTGCTTAGCTGGAGTCTTAGGGTAGCTTTAAACGGAAAAAAAAAAAAGACACTGTCTTTACATACACAGGGCAATTTTAAGAATACAGTCATGAGCTTCTGTAATTGTTTTAGAAAATAAGTACAATATTTTGCCAAGTATTAGGTCCTTTACAAACAGTTGAATTAGATTAGCATGTAGAATAAAGTAAGTCATATGTTTCTAAAATACATGGATGTGTTTAAAACATTTGTTCTGATGTTGCATGCTTATCACTGATGATAAGCTCTGAAGTCTAAATATGAAAAATAGATACTTTTAGTACAATCGCATGTGGAAAATATTTTTTAAATAGAGGATTATGTTCATGAGAGTTCATAAGGTAATGTTGCAGTTACATTATTTATAATGTAGTACTTTCAGAGTCAAAGAAAAAAGCAAACATTTATGTCTTTCTGCAGTGTTGCCAATATCCCAAAAGTCTAATCGTTCTATGACTTAGCCTCATCCTAAGTGTATGTGGTTGTAAATAAGGATACGATACCTCCTGTATATATGGATTATATGATATTACATTTGGAAAACCAAAGGAACATTAATTATACTGACTGAGACTTAAATTGAAAATACCTTCTTAAGCCTACCAAAGTACTTTGTAAAACTGCTATCAGTTATGATATTACATCTTATTGTTGATGGTGTCTACCAAATATCTAAATTTTTATTATTAGTGAATTAGATGTGTGTAGTTACTTAGTGTCCTGGAAACAAGGTACAAATGGTCAAAAATTTCTCTTTCATGAAAACAGGCAATGAAGAAAAACGTTAAACATTACCTTCTGCACATTCAGTAGAAATTATATGCATAGCATGTATAATTTATATGCATTTATTTATGTGTATATAAAGGCTAGTATAAAAAGCCTAAGTGATAGAATTCAGTTTGTCAGTGCCTTTTAGTCCTACATATACAAAAGATTGAGGAAATGGGAATGAACTTTACATTGCAGTACTTTGTTGTAGTCTTATTTACTCCATCCCTCAAATAGAACAAATTGACCTTGTTCATGTAGTAAAAGCTTTTCATTTACGTTGGGGATAAATGGGCCAGAGATTGTATTTATCAAAAGATGTGAGGGCCAGCCTGATAGCTCAGCAGAATAAAGCACCTGCTTAGGCAGAGTGTCTGGGGTTGGATCCCTGGTGTGCCATGTGGGCCCTACCCGCAGGGCATGCTGAGACAGCGATTGCAACCGGGTGTGGAGGGGTGTGTGCCTGTAATCCCAGCACTTGGGAGGCTGAAAACAGGACATAGTGAGACCCTGTAGACCCTGTCCTAATAACAGAAAAGACATGTGACCCACATGGGACAAACACAAAGACATCAAATCTATTAGCATAGAGTATTAAAATGTGATAGATGATTGTGCTTTGTCGTGTTTAGAGGGTAGATATAAGTCTGTGTTCTTAGAACCAACAGCACACAAAACCTGTGTTGGACCTCTATTGGCCTTTCATCCTGTGTTCCCATGACGTAGGAGAGCTGGAGCACGTTTGTTCTCTGCCCTTCCTACAACCCTTGCAAATATCTGTTTGATTATGTATTTATCTCAGACATGATTTGGCACTGTCAGACTCAATTATGGCTGGTGTCTTAGTG